TACTTGGAAGGCTGAGGTGGAAGGATCACCTGAGCCCAGCAGGTCAAGGCTGCAGTGACCGTGAGTATGCCACTGCACTCCAGCCTGGGTGACAGTGAGACTCCAACTCAAAAAAAAAAAAACAAAAAAAAAAACCAGTTTGAACCCCACATATACAAAGTCAGACACAGATATTTATACATAGTCAACGCCTGCCATCTACTATGTGCAGAACATCATGTTTTGTGGATATGAGGCCAGTTCTCTTCTAGTGCCACAAATACACAAAAAAGACATTTCTATAAACACTAAACATATCAAATAGAAATCTTGTATTTACCTCCAGTTATAAAAAGAGTATGCATGAGCTTAGGAAATGCAACTTAGAACTGGAGTGAGTTGTTCCTTCACTGACAATGTGCTTATTGGGGCCTTACTGCATGCCACTGGTGCTCAATGTGCTGACATTATTTGGAATCGGGAGGGAACATAATGAATATGTAACTGCACTGGTGAGTAATTTTAATTAGTAAAGAAAATAAACACTGGTGAGCACCCAGATACTTAAAAAGAACACAAAATTCTCATACTGGAGGGGCTAGGGTAGGTGGAGAGTTGTTTTTTTTTATATTGAGATGAAGAAAGAAAGGTCTTTTAGGAAGTAAGTTAGTTTTAAAAAGAAAAAAAAAAAATGTGGAAGCTGTTCATATAAGCAGCCTCTGATAGAGAACTGGCTAAAAAAAACATGACAATTAAAAAAAAGAGTAAAGAAGACGTCAACTAATATGGGAAGATTTCCAACATACGTTGTTAGGTTTTTAAAAGCTATGTTTTAGTACCTTTTAGATGAGAAGCGGGAAAGAAATAAGAAAATCTATTTGTCTTTTTAAATATTTAGATAGACAAGGTGTGATGGCTCAAACCTATAATCCCAGCACTTTGGGAGGCCAAAGCAGGCAGATTGCTTGAGCCTAGGACTTCGAGACCAGTCTAGGCAACATAGCAAGACCTCATCTCTACAGTTAATTAGCCAGGCATGGTGGCATGTGCCTATGGTCCTAGTTACTTGGGAAGCTGAGGCAGGAGGGTTTCCTGAGCCCAGTAGATCAAAGCTATGGTGAGCCATAATCACACCACTGTTCTCCAAGCCTGGGTGAGAGTGAGACCCCAACTTTAAAAAGTAAATAAAATATTTGAGTAGAGAAACACTGGAAAGATATACAAGTAACAAAATTGGTTACCTGTTTGAAGGAGGGAAACAGAACAAAAATGGGGCATAACTGAGACTTTTTACTGTATATCGATATTTACATACACATATGTATAAAACATGCCAAAGTAACAACTCTTTCACAAAACAAAAAATTTAAATGATTAAACCAGTGCTAGGAATGGAGGCAGAAAGAGATTAGCTAGGGATGGTGACATTGCTGAAATTCTATGGTTCACTCCTATAGCAAAAACTGCACATTTTCAAAATTGCCCTTGAAAATCTTTCAGGAAGCCAACACAGGATCCAGATATACTGCTGGATTCTCAGGGCCCAGATGGCCAGCTTTCCTATCAGTTTTGGAACAGACCGAATGCTTCTGTTAAACAACAGAATTGTCGGCCAGTTTTTGGTGACACATTATTTAAAAAGTATAACTTTTTTTTTTTTTTTGAGTCGGAGTCTCACTGTGTCTCCCAGGCTAGAGTGCAGTGGCCCAGTCACCGCTACCACAGCCCAGACCTGCTGGGCTCAGGTGATCCTTCTGCCTCAGTTTTCCAAGTAGCTGAGACTACCGGTGTGTGTTACCATGCCCAGCTAACTTTTCTGATTTACTATAGAGGCAAGATCTTGTCATGTTGCCCAGGCTGGTCTCGAACTCCTGGGCTCAAACAAATCCTCTTGTCTTAGACTCCCAAAGTGCTGGAATTACAGGTGTGCGCCACCATGCCCAGCTGGAAGCACAAGTTTTTAAATGCCTGTACCACAAGTGATGACAGCAGGTACCACAAGATCCATTCAGGGATGAGCAGGCCCACAACACCCATCTCACCTTCACTGAAGGCACAGCTGAGGAAACACCTCTATCATTCAGACTACAACTCCTCGTTCTTATATCTTTTGAGACCTCACATATGCCACAGCTGAACTGAGGCATATTAAATGTGCATACAGTGTGGCTGGTAACTATAGAAACAGAAAGGAAGACACTGGGCAAAGTGACAGCATGGACAAAACCCAGAGACACAGGTGACAGACTGAGGCAGAGAGTGAGTGAATGGGGCTGGGCGCAGTGGCTCACGCCTGTAATCCCAATACTTTGGGAGGCAGAGAAGAGAGGATTGCCTGAGCCCAGGGGTTTGAGACTAGACTAGGCAACTTGGCAAGACCTCATCTCCACAACAAATCAAAATATTAGCCGGGTGTGGTGGCACACACCCGTGGTTCCAGCTACTTAGGAGGCTGAAGTGGAAGGATTGCCTGAGTCCAGCAGTTCGAGGCTGTGGTAACCGTGAGCATGCCACTGTACTCAAGCCTGGGTGACAGAGTGAGACTCAGACTCAAAAAAAAAAAAAGAAAGAAAGAAAAGTGAGTGATGAGTTGGAGTGAATGGTAGAGAAGAGAAAGTCGTTAAAATGGCCTCAGGGTTTAACATCCCAAGGATAACGATGTTCCTGCCATCTACTCTCTGACACAGTGGGCAGTGTTCTACATTCACATTTCTCATTTTTACCTGGAAAGCAGGTTAGTAGGCAGTAATCCTCACTGTCAAAATGTGCACGGCTTCCTCCAGCTGGATCTGAAGAAGCGCAGCAGCTCTCAGCGGGAGATATACCCAGAGCTAAGGCCCCTTCATTGTCACCCATACTCAGCATCTCGGGTCTGAGAATACCCACCTGTATTCTGTGACGTAACTGTTGAAATTTCTCTTTCACTTTAGTATTCAGTTCAGTAAGTGCGCTTAAGGGTCCTGAACAGTCGCGAATATCCTAGGAGACATTGAAGAGGAGAGTCTTTCTCGAGACAATGAAATGAAATGACGCCATCTACACAGTGAAAAAGTTGGCTGAGACCACAACTAAGATTGGCCTACTGATTGTAAGTCATCCTGATCTGTGTTGTTTCCCTCTACAAAACAAGCAAAAACATTATCATTTTCCCTTTTCTCATCCCCCTTTAGATGAATGTTGAACAATTTAGATAATGTTGAACAAACAACTCTTCTGCCTTGCCTAATTTTTTATCGCTGAAGTTTAGCAAAACGTCACCGGACCATATGAAAGCCTGTACTGTCCAACAAGAGTGCAAAAGTGATAATATAACATTAGATCTTTGTATCCTTCCAACTTCAAAAGCAGCATGCGTCAATGCCTGACATCAGAGACCGGGGAACCGGACCCAGTGGAGCAGGCCAGCAGGGGGCGTGGCTAATGGTCTCCCTGACGCCACCAGACGATCGGGAAGAAGGTGTCAGAAGGCGGGGCCAAGGAGGTGACAGGTAGGTTGTGAGGTGGTCAGGGGCGGAGCGACAGCCAGGGCTGTGGGTGGGAGGGGCCAAGCGGGGTCACAGAGGGGTAGTAGGGTCAGGGCCGGAGTTCACGGGAGGCCCCGGAGGAGGGCGAGCCAACGGCCCCCGGGACAGAGGATCAAGGCCAGCAGTCACGGGGACAGGACCAAATGGGGACCAGGGGTAGCCAGCCATGGAGCGAGGGAAGTTGGGGAGTGAGACCCCTCGAGTTCACAGAAGACCAGCGGAGCTTGGGACAGGCTGCTGGAGCCCGGCAGGCAGTACCTGGATCAGCGCCTTCACCTCCAGGTCGAATTTGACAATCTCTTGGTTACAGATCCGGACGTGGACGTCTTGGGGAGCCGCCATGTTGGGGATGCCGGCTACGGGCCGCGGCGGTGCCCAAGTTCAGACGCGTTTTCGCACCGCCTCTTTCCCTCCCGCCCGCCTCGGGGCAGCGCCCCCTAGAGGCTGGCAAAAACGGCAAGCGAGCGTCGCTGCGCCGAGCGGCGGGGGCGTTCCCTGACACGTGGAGGGAATCAGCCCAAATTTCCTCTTGGGTTGGTCCTAATAAAACGAGAGGGAGAGAAGAGGGACTATCAACAACGCCTAACAGTGGACTCTTTCCATCTTCTGCCTGTCAGCCTTTTTTTTTTTGGAGTTAGAGTCTCACTCTGTCGCCCAGGCTGGAGTGCAGTGGCACGCTCACGGCCATCGTCGCCACTACCTGCCGGGCTCAGGCGATCCTTCTGCCTCAGGCTTCCAAGTAGCTGGAACTACAGGCGTGCGCCACCATGCCCAGCTAACTTTTTATTTATTTATTGTAGAGACAAGGGCTCGCCAATTTGCCCAGGCTGGTCTCGAACCCATGGGCTTAGGCGGTCCTCTCGCCTCCGCCTCCCAAAGTGCTGGGATTATAGACGTGAGTCACCGCGCCAGGCCTGCCAGCCATTATAATAATTATATCATTTTTGCATGGGGAAAAAAAAACAAAAAACGGAGGAAGAAATTGGGATGTCTCTGGAAGGTGCAATAACAATTGTATGTTTCTTTAAATGCCTCTGTATTTTTAATATTTTCTATAGTAGTATGAAGTATGGAGAAAAAGGCCAACATAGTTTTTCTTATAATGTATGGAACTAAAGGCAGGTTAATAGAGCACCATGGCGAGAGGGATCTTTGTGAAAAAGAATTATAAAGTCACCTTCCTCCTGCTCACATCACTTCTACAGCTCCTGGCGGTTCCCTTCTCTGTGTTACAGTTGAATTGATTAAATCTCCCTCAGTAGGGTAGTTTTAATAAAAATGTATTTTTGTTTGTTTGTTTTTGTTTTTTTTGAGTCAGGGTCACCCTCTGTTGTCCATGCTGGAGTGCAGTGGCAGAATCACAGCTCACCACAGCCTTTACCTCCTGGGCTCAGGTGATCCTCTGCTTCAGCCTCCCAAGCAGCTGGGACTACAGGTGTGCACCACCACACCTGGCTAATTTTTTTTCTGTAGAGATGAGGGCTTACTATGTTGCCCAGGTTGATCTTGAACTCCTGGCCTCAAGTGATCCTCGAGGCAGGGTTCATGTAGTTTTGATTGAGATGTCAGAGTAAACCCTCAACAAATGGTGGCTCTTTTGTTTATTTTTATTAGTAAATAGTTTACGTTTCTATTTTTTTTTTTAGTGAGTCAGAGTCTCACTCTGATACCCAGACTGGAGTGCAGTGGCACACTCATGGCCACCACAGCCTCGATCTGCTGGGCTCAGGCGATCCTTCCACCTCAGCCTTCCAAGTAGCTGGAACTACAGACGCACGCCACCACGCCTGGCTGTTTTTGTGATTTATTGTAGAGACGAGGTCTCACCAAGTTGCCCAGGCTGGTCTTGAACCTATGGGTTCAGGCAGTCCACTCACTTCAGCCTCCCGAAGTGCTGGGATTACAGGCTGAGCCATGGAGCCTGGCCGTTTACAGTATTTTTATGTTGGTTTCTTTTTGTTTGTTGGTTGCACTTAGATCTTTATCCATTTTGAAATAAATGTTGGCTTATGATGTGAGGTAAAGGGGCAACTTTACTGTTTTGTAGAAGGTTCCCCAGTTGTTGGAACACAATTTACTGAAGAGTCCACCTTTTTCCAACTGGTTCTGCATGCCATGTTTACCATACTGACTTGTCATATACATTTAAGTCTATTTCTAGACTTTCTATTCTGCTTTGCTGGTCTATTGCACCAAAATGACAGTGTTTTAATTATTATAGTCTTAATATCTGCTAGGATTAAATATCACATTCCCCTGGTCCCCACCAGCATCTTTTTTTTTTTTTAGATTAGAAATGTAGTTTATTTAGAAAGTAAATTGGAGAGAGAGAGAGAGAGAAAGAGAGAGAGAGAGAGAGAGAGAGAGAGAGAGAGAGGGAAAAGGATTCACGTCCCCAGGGGAGGGGAGGAGGCCAAAGCTCAAGAAAACATGGCCTGGCCATAGCTCAAAGAGCACATGACCACACCATAGCTTAGCAAGGAAATGGCCCTGCCAGCATCTTTTAGCAATTATTTTTCCCCATGTAAACCTCAATAGTTGGGGGTTTTTTTAGCCTTCTTGGTATGTTTTCTTAAGATGACATTACATCTTAAACTTAACTTAGAACTGTTTGTTTTATATTGACTGCTCCTGTGTAAGAACTCGGGATATCTTTCCTTTTGTTAAAGTTTCTGTGTCCTTCATAGTATTTAAGTCTTTCTTATCCTAAACCTTGTACATTTTGTTAAGTTTATTCCTGGTGATTTATTTATTTTTTTAGTCAGGGTCACTCTGTCACCCAGGCTGGAGTGCAATGGCACACTCATGGCCACCGTAGCCTCCACCTCTTGGGCTCAGGCAATCCTTACACCTCAGCCTCCTGAGTAGCCGGGACTATAGGTACATGCCACCATGCCAAGCTAATTTTTTTTGTTTTTTGTAGAGACAAGGTCTTGCTCTGTTACCCAGGCTGGTCTTGAACTCCTAGGCTAAAGTGATCCTGCCAGCTCAGCCTACTAAAGTGTTGGGATTACAGGCGTGAGCCACCATGCCTGGTCATTCCTGATGTTTTAAGATTAAAACCTTTTAAAGAAATTGAGGTTGACCTTGTTGAAGTCACTTCAGGGATCTGGATCCTCACATAGAATCTCCCTATTTGGGATGGCAGGGAAGCCCCAAGGCCAGCACTAGGCAAATCTGCTCACATGCCCTGGGACCCCTTTCATGTGATGCTGCTTGGGGAAAATGCCTGTATAATCAATCAATCGACAGTCCTGGGATGTATCTCCAAACTGCAGCTAAAGAAAACAGCTTCCCTTTACTCCGCCCTCCAACACTCAGCAACCTTCCTTCCCACAAGGAGACCCACCCCTCAGCTCTTAAGCATTGTTGAGGGACAGGTGTGCCATCACTGGGTCCTCCCAACTCTTTTGTTCACTGCTGTTGAGACTAGCTTTTGTTTACTGTGTCTGTTAGATTTTGGCTTTAGTTCTTTTTGGTTTTCAGATTCCAAGGCCTCTATTTTCTCCTACATAGACATCCTTCCACATACTGCCTTGTGACTTGGCCTGGTCCCTAAGAGATGAGTGTGATTTGCCCCATAGTGCAGCGAGTAGACTGCAGTTTAAACTGGCGCTCTCTGTCACATAAGCTGGTCTGGGGCTAGTCTCCTCATCTGGGTCTAGCTTGACATGACTACCAGCCCTGTCAGACCCTTGAGAGTAGTAGCTGAGGTTCCTGACAAGGAAGCCCTTAGCAGGGTCTTAAGGAATGCCACTCCTGTCCCCAAGAACTTTCTAACACCTCTTTCCCATTCTGAACCTTTTAGTTGGCATCTTCAAGCATTTCCCAACTCTTTTCCCATGTACGGTGGGCTAAAGAGCTTACCAGCTGAATGACCCACCTAACTGGGTGCCACTCACACAAGGTTTCATTTCCTAAGGACTGTAGTGACCTGGCTCTGTTAAGTCCCAGGACCTTGACAGAGGCTCCCGTGAACAGTGGTCTTGAGAGATCAAGTCCTGACACAGAAGCTGTCCAGGGGACTTCCATGTCTCCTCTGTTTTCTGATGGTCTCAGTGTCACTCAAATGAAGCAAAAGGGGGTTCTTCAAAGGTCAAGATGTCAGGAACACTAGTCTGCCAATCCTTCTCTGACATACTCCACTGGGTGTGGGGCCTGTGACCTTGGAAACCCAGGACCAGAGCCTTTTGCATGTCTCTAACAGCTCTGGTGCTGATCTGCAATCCTACTCATATGCCAGCTTGGAGTGCCCAGAGGCCTCTAATCTCTCTACAGCCCATACTCAGCATGAGTCCTGGCAAAGTCAGTGCCCAGCAAGTGTCTGTTGGCTGAAAGAACACCCTCCTCCAGTGGCCTTCTCCCAGACCCCGACTTGAGAATCTCTGGGTACGCACAGCTTCGCCTGGAGACTTAGAAGATGAAGCATACAAACACATACAAATGTTTAAATCAGGAGAGACCCAAAATGTTTTATCTCCCTTGAAGAGATCGCCTGCCCAAAGATTCAGAAGAGAAATAAATACCAACTATCCTCTAAACTATGAAGAATGCAAATACTTGTACCAATGAGTAATTCTACAGAATAGTTAAGTTTCACCGGAATATCGGCAAATCAGCCTAAAATGTCAAAGGAACGTTTGCTCTTTGGACATGGCCAAGAGGGGCAACACCATGAGCCACCTGCTGCTGTGACCAGGGACTTCCTGGGAGGGGGTTTCCTTGAGGACGATTACCCCAGTAAGCAAGAGAAAGGCAGGGGAGGGAAGAATGGCGAAAGCACAAGGCAAACAACTTGGAACCTTTTCTTTTCATCTTTTTTTATTTTAAATTACAAAGGATGTTGCATACACTGATGAATCTGTATCTGACTAGAAGTGCTGAGGGGTTGAAGGTGACAGAAAACAAAGGCAACATTTGCATTGCCTCTCCTGAAATGAAAACTGCACAACTATTAACCAACAAGTAATAGAATAATTTTTAAACAGCTCATGCGTCAAGATAAAATTCTTCTAGACAAGAGACAAGACTGAATCCAATAAAAAGTGTCATAGCTCCAGTTGGGGGGGGAACCAAAACTACAGAGTATTTATGATGGCATTACAAACAGGAACCCACGCCACTCTGCAGAAGAGGCTGCCACATTGTGCGAACGAACGCTTGGGGTTCTTGCCCTACCGCTGGCGACTTCTGCGCTGTCAGCCCTAGTACCACTGTCGACCACAAACGCACTAAGCTACAAGACAGATCCTAGGAAAGAAGGTCAAAAGCAGGCAGTGGAATACAGTGTCATCAGAATGTGGCGGAAAGGCAGATACAGTACACACGGACACATTTCTGTTATTTGGTTCTGAAAAAAAAAAGGGCGAAGGGCAAGACAGTCGTCGGTCCCACGCCCGCCCACCCAGAATAGTCAGCTCCATCACTGTGTCACATGGTTATG